CTCTGAACATAAACACAGATTAAATTTGTCCATCGACATTTCCCATAAAGTTTATTCAAACTACATCCGGAACAAAAGCTGAGTCACTTTGTGCTGGTTTGTTGGTGTATTTTTTGTCACAGCATAGTGAGGATTACAGTTAAAGCCACAGCATGCTAAAAAAACACTCCAATAATATTAAAACAAGCTCAGTGCAGTTTCTAACCGATCTTTGGCAGCAGCCATGATGGAAATCAGGCCCTGGAACTTCTCAACTTGACCAAAACTTTGGACCTGCCAGAAATCCAACCAGATTGTTGACTGTTGAGGGAATCAGTCAGCCGCTGTGAAACTGCACATCAAACCACACGAGTTCTGGCAGAAATTTGACCCAATTCTAAAATGACTCAGGGGCAACCAAATCTAGGTTAAAATCAGGCTAAATACATATAATGTGTGTGCAATTTAAGAGTTTATGTAGCACAAAGCACAGTGTTCCTGCAACTCTTTAACAGCAACCAACTTTACCTGAAACAAAGAGAGTATAGCAGTCAGTCTGTGTGTGTGTGTGATTGTCATTGGGAGCAGAAGCAGAGCTGCCTCTTATCTTGTGTTTAACAGTACACACCAAAATACACACACACACACACACACACACACACACACACACACACACACACACACACACACACACACACACACACACACACACACACACACACACACACACACACACACACACACACGTTCTTAAAAAGGGCTGTACCACCCTGTACCAGACAAAGAGAAAAAAAAGCCAAAATGAGAGAGGGGGCAGGGATACAGACATAAGCTGGGTTTCTATTTAAATATTTGAAGTCATTTATAATGTACTGAATAGGAAAAGATTATTAGATATGACAGATTTCAATAATCTTTCATCAACATCCTGAAAAAAAAAAGGTTATCATACTTAAAGTAAAGTAAAGTAATGGTGCAATAAATAGTGATGGAAACATATTCGTAGAATTATCAATCTGTCCACCACACCCTTCAGAAATATCAGGGGGATATCTAATTTGGCTGTATCACCATCAGGGCTCCAGACTAAATGTGCATTGGTTGCACTGGTGCGCCTAACTTTTTAGGACAAAATTTAGGTGCACCCAAATTTTTCATTGCGTCGCCTTTAACGCCATAAGGTCACCTTTTTATCGCTCTCCATAACTTTCATATAATGTGAATGATTTTTAAACAAGAATAAGGTGTAGAGAAATGCTTGTCTTTGTTTGAAGCACAATTATATATAAAAAGAAAAATATAGTGTTTAAAGTGCTTCACTGAACTGAAATTGAACATTTCAAACTAAAACAAGACCACAGCCAATCAGAGGCAAAGACCCGCCCAAGCTCCGTCTCTTATTGGTTTAGAACACGATATGATCCTACCATGAGTGTGTGAGTTCGGTCAGAGGAGAACACAGAGAGATGATGTGCTTGCGAAATGAATTTACGTTTTCACCCGGGCATTGTCAGGTGCACCAGTGCGACCTAGAAAAATTGTTAGTCGCACTCTTAAAAGATTTGGTCGCACTCTGGAGCCCTGACCATTAGTCAGCAGGTTTAAAATAAAACTACATAATCTATTTTTAATGTTTTGAATGGTGGAACAGCCTCAGAAACAGCGTTTAGTTTGTCAATATTTAAACTGTACTGAAAGCCAGGCTAAGCAGCTCCTTAAAATGTGTGTGACTATTGTTTCTGCTGACTGAGGCTGACTGACTGACAGCCTGAAACTGCTTAGCAAATGTTCAAACAGCGCGCTAGAATTAAAGCACTCCATAGCCAGGACCAGGAAGGAAGGAACCTTTGTTGTACCCGAGGTGGACGACACTGACCAGGTGATAATATCAGCCCCAGTGTAAGTCTAATCCTGATTCGGTGACACATTTGGATTGGGCAGCAGCCTAACTTTGAGTCCCAATCAGGCCAGAGATCCAGAGTGAGCGAGGGAGCATTCCAGAGAACAGAGGACTTCTGTATTTTGCTGGCCTGTGGCCCAATGTGCCTGTCCTCACCTCTCTGCTTCACTAGCTCACTGTGTGTGTACGTGCGTGTCCGTAAAAGTCAGCTTTGACCTTGTCACCATAGCGATGTGACCTTATACCTGGCAGTAGAGTCTATCTAAAGGTCAGTTCGGTTTTAGAGTGCCAGGGTGTTCACATACTGTCCTATTCACTAAACTATACAGCTGTAGGCGATGAACCGCATGCACCTGCAGCTCAGGCTGCCAGCCTGTAAGGGAAGCTACGGTCACTTGGCTAGCTAGATATTCCTGCTGGTAAAAGCAACAGGGAATATTACATAGGAACTTATGTTGGGCTCAAGTTCAAACCTGTCAGTGGCATATGAACCACTAATACACACACACACACCTCTATTTAAAATACAGTCTTTGCCACAGTATGGAGTTTGCACCAACATCTGTAGACATAATCAAACTTGTCAGTAACTGTTAAGCTTTCACCGTAGGAAATGTATTGCAGCAGCAGCATGCAGGACAGGTTTGACAAGCCCAGGTTTCGTAGGGCCCTTATTGGTATTAGTCACTTTTCAATATGTACAGTGTAGAAAGTCACATTTTAATGTCTTAAACAACTGTATGCCACTGCAAAATATGTAAACCGACCAATTTTGGGCTGCAAGCAACAAACAAACATTTTTTTCAGTTTTATGCTGTCATTCAGTGTTTCAGAACTACAACGGATTATAAAGAATCACCTGCAACACAAAATAAATCTGTTAATACCTTTGATCGTCTCAGTGTGTTGGGTATTATGTGCTCTCTTTCACCAGTTGGCACTAGAACTGCAACAACTGGTCGATTAATAAATTAGTTGTCAACTACTCAATGAATTGTCAACAATAATAATAACTGATTAATCATTTTGAGCTACTTAAATGTTAATGTTTGTCCTCTATGCCAGTAAACTGAATATCTTTGGATTGTGGACAAAACAAGACATTTGAGGACACATTCGGCTTTGGGAAGCAGTGATCATAATTTTTTTTTAAATTAAATAAAACATTTTATGAACCAAACAACTAATCAATTAACTGACAAAATGATCAACAGACTAATCAATAATGGAAATAATTAGTAATTTGTAACCCTTGATAGGGGCATTTTGCACTTTCACTGTGATGGACAAAGCCATGTTGTATTTCCACTGAATCCTATCAGCAGGTTGCAGCTATGCTGACCCACAGCATTATGGGATGTGATGGTTTCACTCCTACATTCTTGTATCAGGCATCTCAGTCAGTGATACTGTAATACTGAAGATAACAATGTTCTTCTTCAAAGTTACTTCCTTGCCACACACCTGGCTACATGAGCAGCTGTGTCAGAAAACTGCCAATGCGGCATTGTGTTATAATCAAATCCCCCACCACAGCCTCAGGCATACATCATGACAAAGCAAAGAGAGAAGCATTCACTGACAGTAGGCCGTTTCAGTGTCAGTGCTGTTCAAGACAGTACCTCCTGACTGATGATACAGCCATTAGGAAACATGTTTGCCTTTCTCCTCCTGTCTGTACATCGCTGTCTGTATTTATTCAAACTTATCCTCCTTGTTTGCATCCCAGCCAAAATCTTAGTATCAGAGAAACACAACGTAGGCTTTTCACCCTGATCCATGGAGTTACCTCAAAGAAAACATTCACCAGCTGTGTGATACTGTAACATTTTGCTATACATTGACAGTCTGCTGACTGACAGTAACCAGGGTTGCTGCAGGTTTTAAGAGGGTACATTTTAGGGATGAACAATAATTATCTGGACAAATAAATTATCGTCTGATAATGGGAATTATTATATAATTATTATTATTATAAATAATCGGGATAATTAAATTATGGCTGATAAATCCATATTGTGCATCCCTATTAAATGTAATAAGACCATTATGAATGCAATTTAATACCCATTTTACATTCACACTGGAACTGATCGATACAACTTCTACACAAAAACATGTTGACTGAAAATACAAGCAATGATAATGTCATTAATCCAATACATTTTTATGACTTGTCAAAAGTCTTCTAAGGATCCCTGACAACCCTGACCGATGTGGGGATTTTAAATCAGATGGAAACAAAGGAAAAGGAAGAAAGAGCCATTATTACTGCTTTCATTAGTACTGGTGTAATCTTGTGTTGGCATACATAGATACTGACACAGGCCAATACATACCGTTCTCTATCTCTAATAGATAAGATCGAAAGTCTCTCCATTTGAAAACTTTGGCTGTTACAGATTTGTTCTTAAACTGCATACTGAAGGCACACATATCTATATTGAATCAGAAATTGGCCAGTTTCGATTGATAGATAGCGTTGACTTCTTATTACAGCGGGCTTATGGCTGTTCTGATAAGCACAGAACACCTTAAATCTTTAACTTTTAAGTGGAGTTCAGCTTCTGGTAGCCTGGACACTGACTGAAAACTAGCATCCTACCTGATAGCAGGAAGACAGTAAGTCATTAATAAAACACTGTAACATTAATCAACACTGTGGGATAAAACCCACTAATGGTGACAAAACGCGAGTTAAACTAACTTAAGTCCTCAGTTGTAACTTTAAACAATTACAAATTCACATAAAGTCAGAATGTAACGTTAACTGTACATAAGAGTTTCTTTCGGGATTTGACAGGGCGGAGTGTCAGCTAGCACTGAGTGAGTATCGTTAGCTGTGTTTTGGTTAGCCAGCTCCACTATGAAAGTAACCCATATGCAGCTGAGCTACAAGCTAATTAGCTTCATATTCAGTAGAAATAAAGGGCCCTCAGATGGTATAAACTTTGGCATCAGTTTAGTGAGTAACCACCCTCACAAAGTTACTTTATTCGGCAACTATGGGTTAATTTGACTTCTCAAGCTAATGTTAGCAGCTAACTAGCTCGCTCCTTCCTGCAGCACCTGTTGATAACAAAGCCTCTTCAGACCACACCGAAACCACTGGAATACTCACTCTGTTCGTCCACGTACTCCTTCCGCGGCTCAATCCAGCTCAAAGTGCTAGTTTTAATCCAAACAGTCGTACTTCGGCCTTTATTTTTCTAATTCACAGTTTCCCTCTAACAGACTTGTTGCCCGTTTCTCGGACACAGCAGCGCAGACTCTCTCTCTCTCTCTCTCTCTCTCTCTCTCTCTCTCTCTCTCTCTCTCTCTCTCTCAGACTGTCATTTCCAAGCCCAGACAGGGGGAGGAAACGTGCCTCCAACTAGATAAAACAAGGATGCTGATTGGACACAGCGATGAGAGGAATCTTGTCTAAACCAATCAAAGACGTTGCTACATCGGTGGAATGCAGCACGTGAACACTACGCTTGAAGTACTGGTGGAAGCGACATGAAACCACAAACAGGAGCCGAACCGGTGGAAAAACGTCCCAAAACGTATAGCTCGTTACATTTTTCGTTTAAGATAACATTTTGATTTATTACGTTTGAATAACATCTAATATTTTTTTAATTTAAAGTGATATTTGTTACCCTACTTTTCAATTCTCATGCAAGGATGTCTTTTGGCCCCACTATTCCCTATTACCTGTGTAGACTACACCTGACATTGGAATGAGAAAAAAAGTGTTTCTACAGCATTTATAACAAACACAAATGTAATCTCAGTGCTTATATTGATATGTATTGTATCGTTTGATGTAATGCAATTTTCAACTTGGGGTCTGGGGACCCCCAGAGGCCCCTGAGGGGATACCAGAATGTCCCCAGAAAAAAATGGGAATATTTATTTAAATTTAAATTTAATTTAATTTAATTTGCTTAAAGGTAGCCCATTGAAAGAATGTATGAGTATTCTGTCCATAGGTCTCATACTGTTCACTGTTAATGTCAGTCTAGTATAGACAGTTGTGGAATAAGTAAGTCCTATCAGATAGACTGCATCTTATCAAATACGGGTCTAAAGGAGAACCACTGGTTTAATGGATCCTTTGTCCATACAGTGATCACATGGTCGAGCCAGCCTGAAATACTGAGCAACATATAAATACATAATGCAGAAGTCAAACTTTTCCCATAGGTCATTGTGTATTGACTGTTTAGAAAAAGGGAAATATTTACTGAATATACAACAGAGTTACATTATTCAAACCAAAGTCACCGTAACATTTAATTTGGGTTTAAATAGAGAGAACGCCACAAAAAATAAACAAATAAATAATTAAAATATTCTGTCACATCTGGTGAAGACAAAAGCATCCTTATGGGGTTTGGTACATTTTCTATTTTATTTCAAAATAAGATTCTGAAACATTTACTTGAAGTGATTGATCTAAAATCTACTGTATGTATTTTCTTATCAATTTGTGCAAAATTATTAAATAGAAAAATAGAATTTGCAAAAAATATTTAAAAAACATTTTTAATATATTTTTTTACGAAACCTTTCTGTTACCTCGCTGCATAGAATTGTATCCTACTTCTCTGTAGTTACCAATATAATAATATCTATTAAATAGATCTGAAATGACTGCATATGACTGCAGTGTTTCTAGCTTTGCACACCCTGTATCACAGATCTCCCTCATGAATGAAACTATAAAATGACTGAATTATTCAATATATTTTCATCATTATACTGTATGACCGATAATAAAAAAGCAACTTGTCCAAACAGAAGTACAGAATAATCAGGATTATTTTTATTAATTCATCTTCAGTTTCAATAATATCATTACAGAAAAAAACATCCTCTTCATTATATTTATACAGTAGTAGTAGAATGCTGTGTCATTGCTTCATTACAAGTGCTGGTCATAGTTTATAGTGTGTGCAGTGTGACACTGAGTTCAGTCCAGTGTTACGAATCACTCAGTACAAAGGCAGTTTAACAATAACCTGCTTCTTCTTACTCAAATGAATCTATCTGGGTTTGATTGGTCCTCCTTGGGCAGGTGCCGGGACGTGCTCTGATACTGCGTTCATGCCATAATGAGTCCACCGTAAATATTAGCAGCCAAAAACATAAATGTGGTTTTAATTTAATACTTTTATTTCACTTGGTTGTGGGCCTTCCACTGAATGAATGACTGCCTTTAAAATGCTGCAAAAAAATGTCACCCTGTTCTTCCACGACTTTGTCTTACATGACATGAACCCAGCATGAGCCACCGATAGATTTATGGTGCATTTGAGGTAACTGGGAAGTTTCTGATATCTGAGCTTAGCGTAATAAATGAGACAGTGTTGGTACCAGAGCCTGGGCTTTGAAAAACTCTTCTTACGCAGCAATAAATCGCATCAAGAAGTGCCAGAAATGTAACATTTAGTCAGATCAGAAGTTCCGCCCAGGTGATGCACCCTGGTCTCACGCCTGGAGTGAGACCTGCCCAAAGAGGAAAAACACGCCCCCCTTTATGGGCATGCAAGTGTGGAGAGGGAGGGGAGGGGCAAAAAGGAAGATGAGGAGGAGAGGGAGGAATGAGGGGAGGGGTGGAGGAAGACTGCATCAGCCTATCAGGAAAGCGGTCAAAGCTCAGAAATTCTGACTAGTGCTGCATTCAGGCCACAGAGGAAAAATAGTTGAATTGAGCTTCTGATATGGAAAGTTGACACGTCATATCTCTGGGGGTAGTGTGAAGATCATTGGACGTCTAGAAAAAACATAAATTACGTCATCTTGGTGTCTTTACATACCATTAAATTCAAATAAGTAGCATTGTAGCTGTTATTCCAATATGACCTGAATGCAGCATTAGACCTTTGACCATGTGGGTTGGTTTGGCACTGAGCACACTGATAGGAAAAATCAGAGGAACTAGAGGAGTTAAGGTATGGTGCACTGGTGAATGCTTGGGACTCACAGATTGCATATGATGCATTTGAATGGTCCTTGTTAATTGGTAAACAATTTAAGTTCAGTGTTTAATCAGCAGAATACAGCAGCTAACCGGCCTATCATGTTAAAGCTAACAGTAAACTAAGCTTTTATAGTGGGCTACATATCAAACAAGGTCGTCTATATTTCTCAGTGTTGCTCTGACTACGTACAGTACATTGAGAGAAAAGCAGTCAAATGATAGTTTTTTTTTACAGCCTTGAACTGTGTTGATTCTTTTGACTTTAACAAGCACCTTAACACTGTCATGGTAGAAATACACCAGTTGTGTAGTTTACGAGCACCTGAACGCGACACCCTGCTTTCAAGTGATGCCGAGGCCGGAGACTTCTCTGAGTTGGGAAAACGGTATGTCGCGACGCACTCGAGCAACTCTTATGTTCATGTTTGTTTGAGGAAAAGGTGGGAGGCGCAACATTGGCCAAACAGAAGCCTTTGAGACCAGCTGTCAGCTAGGTATAGTCGTTACTCTTTGGCTACTTGAAGGATAAGGCTGATAATATTCTACATTTTTTTCTCACTGTCAACAAATCCCATGAAACGACCAAACCAGAAATGAAAAAGACCTACTAACAAGTATTGTGTATGTGCCTGATGTTCTCCTTCTAATATTAAAACACATCAGTGAGCCACACTGTTGCACTGGGTGTCATGTTCTTTCATTACCATGAACACACACATTGCAGCTTATTTTGACTCAGTCCCAAATACACCGTCGTCCTGCTGTAAATACTCACTAGAGCATCAAATGTGTACTACTCCGCGGCTGAAAATAGTCCCAAACAAATGTACACATTCCTCCCTTTGAGTGTGCTAAAAACTACAGTGCCCAGCTGAGCCTTTTTAAAACTGGAGCTATATATTTCTGACCTGTTTTACAGAAATAATATCACACATTGGCAGAGGAAAAAGAAAAGGACAAGACTGATTAATCAAATGTACTACACGGAGTGTCTAACTGATTATGCCTGCCAATGGGTCGGATTCGGTGGAATTCCCCTTGACATCAATGAAAGGAGGTAGTAGAAACACTACCACTTTTGTCCACAGGGGCCACCACAATCGACACAACACGAAAGTTCCTTGTAGGAGTTTTCATATGACGCTCTTTCTACCACTGTCATCTGTACACAGCCAGCGACTGGCTAGCTTAGCTTGGCATAAAGACTGAAAACAAGAGGAAACAGCTAGCCTGGCTCTGTCTGACAGTAACCTAATCCACTTATCAGCACCTAAAGCTCACTAATTGATGCGATTTGTTGATAGTAAGAAAATAAAGACTATCACAAGCATTATCCTCCAATAGTTAAATTAAAGAATGAATTAAAGACTGTAAGTATTTCAGTTTCGTACTGCAGTTTCATGGTGTAAACTATAAACTCATGTAAATCCAACACCACTTGAATGCAGGGCTGGGTTATACTATTGTGGCCCACCTCTGATATGAGGGAAAGTTCGTCCCTGACTACAGATCATAGAAATCATTTTTATAACATATTATTAGAACAGTTATGTTTATATTTGATGCCGGACCAGAGGAATCATTCCAGTATGGCCAGAGAGGATTTCACTCAATGAATCTTGCCTTAAATCGTCCTGCCTTAAAGCTGAGCCACTGACCCACCTAACAGAGTTCCATGGCTTTCACTGAGAGTCGTGATGAGTTTTAGTGTCTCAGTATGGTTTGAAAGTGTTATATCTGGAGTAAAAAAAACAAAAAACAAACAAACAAATATCCTTGGATTTTTTTCCTTTTGGCAAAAAAGTATTTACTGTACTGGCACAAACTATATCAGCAACATCAATCAGAAGATGTCTTTATACGCCTTTAGTTCATATTTCTGTCAATGCTGATGTTAGGCTCAGTGTGTTCCAGGATGTACTGATACTGCAGGGAGGGGTTATCAAGGAGTTTCTATATCTGGATAGAGGATGCCAGAGCAGAAAAGAAGAAGAAGAGAGAAAGAAGGGGGAAAGAAAGGGAAAAAAGGTCAGGAGGAGTGGAGGAAGGAGGGGAAGTCTCTATATCTCTATATCTACCAGGGAAAAATGTTGAACGCACAAAGCAAATGAACAGGAGAGAAGAGGGCATGATTACTACTAAGATGATAATATTCAATCAGAACCATGATAATAATAATAAATAGAATATTAATTAAGAATATTAATAATCATTATCATCAGGATAATAATAATAATAATATTACAGAATAAATCTCATATTTTATTTTTTTTTTTCACATTTTTTTCTCCATTGAAATACAGTGATCTCCTCAGAGCAGACCAATGAGGATTCAGCCTCCGCTGGCTCCGATTGGCTGTTGCATATGACATCACAGCTAATGGCGACCAGGTAGACATGCATCACTTCCTGCCCCCGCCCGTTTCCTGTCCAGACAGGAAGTCCTGGCACTGCCATGGTAATCGGTAGCGAGTGACATTGAAGTCTGGGGAGGAAATGTTTTGGTGTTACGGTTGGATGTGTTCCCCTCCCCTGTAAATATGTGTAGAGGCTTCCTGTGAGACTGCAGAATAGACATACCTGCATCATAGCCGTCCGATGACCATGACGTCCACGACCTCTCCCTTATGCAGTTCCACATACTGCTCTGTTTTAGGAGGTAACATCAGCAGACCGTTGGCGCTACGCATTGACATTAGTCTGCTGGATACCTGGTTGCCTGGAGAAAGAGGGACATACAGTTTGTGTGTGAGCCTGTGTGTGTAGGAAGTGTGTGCAGTGTTAACTCTATTCTACCAATTAATATGTAATGAATATAACTGTTAAGAATTAAGGGATTTAATTATCTGCAGAAGATATGGTGCACACTATGCATTTAACATTTCATGATACCTTTTTATTTACTTTTCTGTGCTGGGTGTAACAGAACTGTGACGGTGCAACACAGATGGCTCTGTGTAAGGGAAACACTGGTTGTGTGTGTGTGTGTGTGTGTGTGTGTGTGTGTGTGTGTGTGTGTGTGTGTATATGTGTGTTTACCTGTGCTTTGTGCCCAGGGCAGTGGCTCCTGGTGATGCCAGGTGAGAATACAGCGGTGGTACTCTGGTCTGGGATCCAGCTTCACATCACAGGAAAGCTGAAATACATGCACACAAAATGAGGTATTCAATATGGATTTTCTGTTGTCCAAAAACACAAATTTAAGGGTTTTAATCTGTATGAAAATATTCTTGTCTAGATACATTACTTTATATCTAATTCAGGGTTTCTGCAGGTTGAAATTTAAGACTTTTTAAGACCATTATGAATGCAATTTAAGACCCATTTCGCATCCATACTGGCAAAAAGTACAAAGGATATTAAGGAACATTTTTGGTTTAGGAACTGTCAAAATCCTATTTAAGAAACTTAAAGGCCTAAAATTCAGATTATTGGTCTTTAGACGTTTTAAGACCCCACAAACAGTAAAAGGAATTCAGTAGTTTGAATGTTCTGGGAAATAAAATGATTCTTTCTCACGGACAATTAGATGAAAAGATCAATAATGCTCTTATGTCTGTGCAATAAATATGAAGCAGTTTAAACAAATAAGATATAACTATATATGTTAATAAGTCAGCTTTAGAGGTGCTGGTAGGTGGATTTCATAACCTTTGGACAACAAGTTTCAGGCATCAGGCCACTGTTAAAGGCTACGGCTTATGGCTAATTGGTTCTGAGATGCTTTTTTAAAAATTAATTTGGGACACAAAGTTTTCAGTTACTTAACTCTCTAAAAGCAGACCTCCCATAGGTGGCCATTGTTTGCATTATCCTTTTTTAATAATAATAGCTAATAATAATTGCAGTGTGTGTGTGTGTGTGTGTGTGTGTGTGTGTGTGTGTGTGTGTGTGTGTGTGTGTGTGTGTGTGTGTATTTTACCCTAGCTTTAATAATTGTAGGTCTAGGGTCCAGAATGCCTTGCATCTTCCTCAGAGCAGGAATCACAAACAGGTTACATGTCACCACTGCAGACACTGGGTTACCTACAAAACAACACAACACTGGGTTACTAGGGTAACTGTAAAAGCTACAAACCACTAACTACACACTTAATTAGCAGATAATTACATATGATCTATATTAAGGTATAAACACTGTCTAGTATATGTATGCACTAATATCTAATCTAGGTCTTGTGCTGTCTCCATGTTATTCCATTAAGTGTCTGTGTGTGTTTTTGCTGGTATCTCTTTACACCAGTGTGACCCAGACACAGCCCCTTAATTGTACTTACTATAAACGTATCTTCATGTTATAGCCATAAATGACACGGGTGACCTCGTACTAAGAAAGCAAAACTTGTTGTCAGCAAAACTGTCCGGAGTACGCTCCCAACACAAACACATTAGAAGTGTGGCTCAGCTGCTGTTTTTATCATTCTGACAGTGAAGACATACAAGCAGAGTGCTGCAGGAATGAGTCCTAAAAGCCAGAAATGAGTTTAGCACTTCCGGTTCCCTGGTCTTGAAGTCAGTGGGTTTTTGAATGGGTTCTTAAGAGATTTTCATGTTTTGTTCTATGATATAAAATACGTCGGTAAATACCCCACCTGTGAATTATGAAGCTTTTACAAGTGCAAAAAAAAGGCAGTTGCTAACAAGGGGCTAAATAAGACTACAGAGGTTGTCGGTGGTGTCGAACATGGAGACTAGTCCGCTTTTACAGACTAGTTGTGTTTATACTTGCATTCTTGCAAACTATTTCAACTCAAACTATCCAACTTGTAGATTTAAATTACAATATTTAATTATAAATTGGAAGTTTAGTGGACCTGGCGTTGAAGTCATGCGACCATGGTGTAGTTTATAAATGCATAAAGTTAGCTTTTTGCTTCAAGGGATCGCATTTATGCTTCAAAAAGTGCCGTTCATTTCTGAAGATTATCTTATTGAACAAAATGTGTAAGTTTCATACACTTCTGTTCACCACAGAGCATATTTTCAGCAATAATCCAAAGTCCAATGGAAAAATCCCTTTGGCTTTTTGTGGATGGAACCAGGGTGATGCTAACTTCTGGATTTCCCTACAGAAATACGTCATCCCTGCAGCACATTGTGGAGAGATTTGAATTATTTTGCTTAACAGAACTGAAAAACATCTTCAGTACAGTAACACACGTTATCAATGACCAGATTGAGAAGTACTGGCTGATTGAGACAGTTTAAAGTTTGTACAATCAAAGCTTTCCTTGAATGCACACAATATTGTGTGCAACACATTTGAGGAAGCAAAAGAATTCAGATCTCAATGGAGGTGCATTTTAATTGAAGGTGTGCATATACAAACTAAAGCTACAGTATATCCAAACACACTGCAGATAACAAATGTATGCAAGAAGTATGCCATGAAAAGGAGGCTGTGGCCTATTGGGAGCTCATCTCCCTGAGTACTAATTTGTCTTTAACTGCCACCAACAGCAGACATAATAAGATTAATGGTGTTTACATCTTTAGGCCTTGACCATACCCACACATGAAATACAGTGCCACAAGATGAGTCTTCAGTGGAGGAAACTGGGGGGTAATGGTACATTTATGCTGCACAGTTAATGCCAAACTGGATTGCTTTCAATGAAAAAAAAGGTGGTGAAATCCCTTAATGCTGACACAAAAAACTCCTCATAAAACTTCAACCTAAATTATTGTATCAAAAAGTTTCCTACAGCAGCAGCAAATATTTCTCTTATTCCAGTGATTATTTAAAGCCCCACAACAGTCGAAACTCTGTGATGTCTTTACTGTGCAGAATGCTGTCTGTGCACTTTGACTCTAGAAGGATGTTTTTACATTGATCTACTGAAAGTGGAAAGTTTCTCTGTGCTCACTGAAAATCTGACTTTAAGGGGCGGGGCCTTATCAGCAGGATTTGTGACATCACAAATAGTTAGGAAGTCAGTCCTGGTCCAGTATGCAACTTGTACAGTGTGATGTAGAAACTTGAAGCCACCAGTGCACATCCACTGAGAATGGACTTTACAGTGAAGTAGGAGACATCTTGTGTTAAAATTATTCATCGGCAATTATTTGTCAAAATAAGACTGTTAAATGTATTGAAACAATAAATATATTTGTTATACAAAAGTATGACTGTATAATTGCCAAACAATTATCAAAATCATTATGACAACAAGAAGGCAGTTGGCTGTTTGGCTGAGTTACATCCCCTGGTGTGAACCCTTTGGCCTTGTTTTTGACTACAATGTCAACGCAGCATGAAATGAGTTGTGGATAAGCAGGTAATGACAGAGGTGACTGAGGGTCAGGGGGTGAGGTCATCATGATAGCGGACGAGAACAAGGACCAAGACAAGTAGCCGGGCAATCAAGAATAAACATGAATATGCTAGCATAGGACTTGAGACTGAAGGACTTAAGACTTAAGAGTTACTCAGAGGTCAGGGTTTAAAGACATATGGGTTAGAATGTTTTCGCCCTTATATCTAGCACTGTTTGGGATAAAAGGTAATTTAGAAAAAAACAGGACCATCTTTCTTCCAGTCAAGATGAAAGGGGAACTGTCAGAGGTCATTGTGGGTTCAGTTTCAGGACCTACTTCCTCTAGGTGCAGGGGTTAGTGGTTGCCTGGCCTCGGTCTCACTCGGGGCTACGGCCTCCAGCAGGGAGGGCCCAACCTCTCTGAAGTTGAAGTTTCCTTTAATAACAATAGTAATACATGTACAGTGCTAGACTGGAGCAAAGACCAACACACTCCAAATCACAAAGGCCCAGACTAAGGCTGCAGGACATACTATACTGTAGGGTTCCGTTTCATTACCATGACAACATTAGTGACTAGCAAAGTTTTAAACAGCACAGCAGTAAAGGACTGCTGAGCTTTAGTCAAAGAGAGACTGGGGGTTCTACAGGGGCTTTTAAAGCCAATATCGTATGCAGATATTCAATATGTTAAGTTGTGTCTTATTGTAAGACACTGCATACTCAATACTAAATTGCTAGATGCTCTTCAAAAGGACAGTTCTGCCCATTCCTAACCTGACCCCTATGTTTTTATTATTTTCCACTGTATCAGTTGGTCCTAACAACAGAGCAGAGGTGTGGTAAAAAGGTGTTCTGACAACAATGGGAACTTGGATATTGTGGCCCATGGATTTTCTCATCAAACACGGTCAGTTGCAGCTGCAGCTGTGTCTGTACTACACAGCTCATTGAGGCAATGGCGTTTCTTGGAGTGACAAAATCAAGTGAGTTTTCAATGCCAAAAGAATTGCAGTCTGAAACCACAGGAGATAAACTAAAACATACGGAAATACTGTATAAAAAATACAAAAAGTATAAAAAAACAAATCAACCCACAAAACATTAGCATCACTTAGAGATTAAATGAAGCCAACACAGTAGTGCCAAAAACTGTAGTTCCTCTTGAGGTTGGCTCCAAAAGCGAGTCACAGAAACGTTCATTTTTAGTCTATAATGCAGAGTTAGCATGTAAAGTCAACAAATATATTCAAATGGAGACTGAATGGCATTTTGAATGGGTAGAGCAGAAAGATTCACCCAGATGAACCTGAAGACAACCAAGGCCTCAAACCCAACAGCACTGTGCTTTACCACTAGGGAAACAATCAGATAGACATTCAAAGGTGAAGTTAAAGATATAACCATTATAACCATAACAGTGTAATATGATTGTGTGTATGTTCATGTGTGTCAGACCTTGAAAGCTGCTACAGAGCTACCCGAGTTTCACTCAAAATGCTGCATGACTTTACAACGTAAAGTTAAGAGCAACATACATTAGCAACGTATGACATCAAAACAGCTGCACAAATTATTTCTATCTATGTCCACATAAAAGTAGCAAGTCAGGTTACACCACTGTGATATTTCCCGGTGTCAACGTACAGCAACATTCCAAAAAAGCAGCAATTTGATCACTTTTGATCTATGGACAAAGCTTCTTCTGTCTATAAAGTGCATGGATGTCAAATACCACTAAACAATGAGGTTCTAGACTGGTGTATGCTCCCCTTGAGTCATAATATGTAGGAAAAGTTGTGCATTAGATGAGCCATTAGCCATCAAAAATATAGCAACTGACATGATTGGGCCTGAATTTGTATAGTGGACACTGATCAAGAGATACAGGATCCTGGGCAAAAATGGGAAGAACTGTCTTTAAAGGCAGAGTTAGGCAAGTTTTACACAGGCCAGGTCTGAGACTGCTTGAATAAAACAAGAGGAAACTTCTTTGTAATGGATATGAAAGCTACTGACTGACCCAATACCTATTAGCCCAGTTTATCAGTAATATATCAGTCGAACATTACCATAAACAAACCATACACACCGAGGACGAGGACAGCCGAGACAGACACAAAAGACAGGGGCTGATGCTACATGTGGGTTCAGGGCTGGAGGGACAAAAGTGGAATGCCTCGACTGGCTACTGGCTGAAGTAGGAGCGATCCATAACCAATCGATGGGTAAGTTTGGGCGTTCATTTACAGAGTGGACTGACTCAAGCAAGTCAGATTGTCAGAATACATAATGGAGGTCTTGTTGCCACTCATGCCAACTTTGAGTCCCATTTGTGTCAATACTTGCAAGATAACTTGTGATTGCAAGAGTTTCATCTGCTAGTGGTAATTTAGTAAGTAAGTAAAGAAATGGGGACCAAATGAAGTGAAGACTGATTCTTCTGTTTTGTTTTGTCTGTTCACCCACTCTTTCTTGTGCACTTTCTTGTTTGTTCCGTTTTTTAAATGAAACTATCCTTAGCTTCAAATGGGTATCACTGCTGATAAACACTTTCACGTATCATGAAAGAGATCACGCCTGAACCAACACACAACGTTTTTTAACGGCATCTTGTAATGCGCTACCTTGTCACCATCACTCCCTTTCCAGTGTGCCTGCTGTTCTGGTGCCGATGTGAAGGTTACACACACAGCGAATGGGACATGGCTTCAGTTAAGGAAAAGCAGTGTGGTGTCAGATGGTCCAGGGGATTGGACAAGGAGATACACGCTTACTGACAGCCAAACAACACACACCCAGTTAACTCACACTTAAATATATTACCTGGCAGAGCAAAGATGAGTTTCCGTGCTCCATCAATGTCAGCTGTGGCAAAGGTAGTAGGAAGACTGAAGAACAGAAACACACAGCTCATTACATTCCTCTAGATGCCATTACAGTACTAGTGGTAAAATGAATCATCGCACTAACAATAATAGTAGTTACAACAATAGTGAAAGTACTATAAGTACTGGCAGCAACACTTGTAGCCATAGAAGAAGAAACAGTAGTAGCACCCAAATAGTAATAGAAGTAGAAAGAATAGTGACCGTAATAGCATTAGCAGTAGTAATATCAGAAAAAGCAGTAGCAATAATAGAAGGAGTAGCAGCAACAGCAGTTCTAGTAGTGGAATCAGTAAAAGCAGAAGCAGCAGTAGAAGAAGAAGACATAGTAAGTATAGTAGCAGTAAAAGCAGTAGTAGTAGAAGGGTCAGTAGTAGGAGTAGCAGTAGTAGTATAATTGTTTTAGTGATAGGAATCAATATAGACAATTGTACTAGTAGTAACAATAGAAACTGTAGAGGCAGAACTTGTAGTAGCAGTAGAAGTAAAATCAGTAGCAGCAGTACAAGTAGTTCTGTAGTGACAGTAATAAATACAGTGTAGTAGTAGCAAACTGTAGAGACAACAGTAGCAGGAATAGTAACAGCAGTAAAAGCACAATAGCAGCAGAAATGGTATTAACAGTAGTAGCAGAAGAAGTAAACGGGGCAGTCATAGAAGTAGGAGTAGTACTACTATCACTTTGGTGGTGACAGTAAAAAATATAGTGAAAGTTGTAGTAGTAACTGTAGAATTGGTATTAGCAGTAGTAGCAGAAGTGGTAGGAGGGGAAGTAGTAGAAGTAGGGAGTACAGTAAAAGTAAAAGCAGTTGAAGAGTAGAAGTAGCAGAAGTATAGAAAGCACAGGCTGCAGTATGGATAATATGAACAGTGAATGAGTTCACTTTATTTCTCACTAGAGGTTAATAAGAAAATTACTTTGGATATAAAATCATGTGTTTTAATCCCCCCAGCCAGACTCCACTCCCCTCCCCCGTCTCACCCTGGCTTCATAAAGACTCGTCCAAAGTGGATCTGAGCATGAAGGTCAATATCCAGCACCTGCTTTAGGTAGTCCTAATAGGACACACAAACACAGACAGATGGAGAACAATTATACTGCAAACTGAAGTCCATTGATGTTGTTAGATCAGAAAAAAACAGTAAGCAAGCAAATAAACTGACAAATGTTCTGTTTCTTTATCAAAGACCAGAATATCTAATCAACTTGTGAGTGAACTCTGTAGATAGTTTGAGGAGATGGCTCTTAGGTGAGAAGTTACCTTCTCTCCCATGGACACACCCCCTGAGGTGATGATGACGTCGGCACGACTGATTCCCTCATGGAGAGCTGAAAGCAAGTCATCAGGGCTGCAAACACGAGCAAACTCAGTTTACTACTCATAGCAAGTGCCTCTCAGCCTATGAAAACTGCTGTATGATGTCTCCTGTGGCTGTGGAGGAACTTTGTCAAGTCTGAGAAAATAATGTCATAGTGTGGATATCACAGTGATGTCATCAGGGTTATGTTGGATTGGGATTGAAAGCTGCATATTATTAATGGAAAACATGTGCTACAAAGTGGAGATGTGGCCGTTTATCAGGTGAGGAGGTTCTGACAAAAAGACACAATCAAGTGGCATTATGGGAAGTGAAGGATCAAGGTTTTACTAGGGACTAAAAGTCAGGACTGGTCAGCCTCTGTTGCATTGAATTTGACATTGTTTAGCCCTGTAGCCTTTTTCTTTTTGACATGCCTTATCTACAATTTCAATTTGTGGTTTCCTACATTTCCCAGAGTGCCTGTAACAGGGAGAGGACATGAACTTCTTCTATTTACTGTAGCTGTGACTGGAAGTATGTGACAAAAAACACAGTTTGGCTAAAAGGCCATTTAGCCACGCCAATAACCAATAGCTTACTAACAGTGTTTTAGACTTTAGGCTGCCTTTAAAAGTACGGGCAGGAACTGTAAGACTCCAGCTCAAATATTGTTTTGTCAAAAGGAAAGGTCCGACAGCAAAACTCTCCATCAAATGTAGTCAGTGCAACGTTTGTGTCACCAAACAAAATGTCAGCAGGGCAGAGAAGTTATTTTTGTATGAAGCTAAAATGCTCCTACTTGTCTCCAACGATTCCCAGGTTGATGGTGGGATATCCATGTTCCTGGATGGTGGACAGCAGAGTGGAGCGGTTGGAGTCTCTGATTTTCCCTGGGTGAAGGTCATCCTCTGGATTCAACAGCTACACATACACACACAGAGGAATTCAACTGGTATGTTGATTCAGTAGAAAACCTTAGTAGGAAAATTGATTATATATGAGGACATGAATGGTTTCTATTTGGTCATTGTTACGCCTTCACACTGGGCCAGCTTTGTGTGGGAAGTAGTTGAGTTTAGAGGGACCTTGAAGGCCCTGCTCCTCACATCACGTGTGAATAACTGGTTCTATCCGGTTCTTTGACACTGAGACTGACCTCCGTTGACTCCTCATATGATGTGTTTAATGCGAGACAATTGAAGGATATAAGCAGAGACAATGTAAGGTTTCTTTCAGAGCATAATCAGGAGGATTTGTCAGTTGCAGTTTGTAAACACAGCATTCAAAGTTTGCCCCTCCTCCTGTGTCTGCCCCTTTCATAGATTACTCTTGGAAGCTATGAAAGGTCTATCTGCCCATAGTACTACAGGACTCGCCTACTACATAACACACCCTCAAAACAGCCACAGTTTGGTTAGGTTTAGTAAAAGATCATGGTTTGGGTTAAAATAAATACATGAATCCAAGTAACCTCAACTTGTTGATCATGTTTATCCTTTTTTCATCAAAGTGAAGATTGACCAGAAGTTTTCTTCATCAAAAACCTAAAACTCTAAATGCAAAGTTCAAAAGAAAGTATGTAAGTATATTCATCTGTTCACGTGCTCGTACCTCGTTTCCAGTGGACATGACGGCCACCACGGGGAACTTGTGCACGCTGACCTCAGTCACTCCAACTGTAGCCAGCAGGCCGATCTCTGACGGGCCCATATGTGTTCCTTTAGCCAGCACACACTCCCCTCGCCTGATGTCGTGACCTATTGGCCTGTACAGACACACCAACACGTTACAATCATAATTAGCTAGCTAGCTTTGATTTCGATTAGTTCCCATTAGTTCCTTTATTTGCATATTGTGTTGGGTTTACCTGATGTCCTGTCCGGGTCGGGCCTGGACCATAATCCTCACCTCCAGCTCCTCTGTGCCCTGAAATGAGCCAGACTGTCAGTATCACCATACCTGCTAATAACACACACACACACACACACACACACACACACACACACACACACACACACACACACACACACACACACACACACACACACACACACACACACACACACACACACACACACACACGCACACGCACACGCACACGCACACGCACTTACATCCTCAGACTCCCGCAGAAGCTCTGTATCTTCTACTTGGACCACAGCGTCGGCTCCACAAGGAATCGGAGCCCCGGTCGTCACCCTCATCACCTGACCTGGCATCACTGTATGGGTGGGCTGTACACACACACAAACACAGAGTAGGATTAGTGGCTATAATAGTAGCAACAGTCTCCAACAACATCAATAGCAGGAACAGTAGCCTTTTTGTGGTCACAGTGGTGATACAGGAACATTAGTTGTAACTAATAACAGAAATCACTGAGCCCTATTTTAGTTTCGTATTTGGTATTTTCCACTTTGAAATTTCTAAACAGACAGAAAAACGTGTGAGTATTTTTGGAAGTTGGGGTTCAGATGTTGCAGCATCTCAGAGCCATTGATTCATTTCTTGGATATAATCACCCTATGTGCATGTGCATGTGACAGCTGTGTTGAGGAACATTACCATTAGCCATTAACCATTAGGTTTAATGTCCAGAGAAGGACAGACTTTGTTTATTTTGTGATTTAGGTGAAACAGAGAATGAGGTTTGCTTTTTGTTTTGCTGTCCTGTCTATGATGACATAAGGGTAGTTTAAGTAATAAGCAAAGATCACAAACACTTTTGAACTAATGACACTGGTGGGACAGAATTTGTTATTCCAACAGATTTAGATTATCAGGGCTCATTAATCCTGTGCTTCACTCCTTTTCCAATGTTTGTGGCAAAATGTTGTGTGTCATGTTCTATTCTTGAATTGCATTAGAAAGCATACAACATATATGATGTAGATTTATTATTTTAAAACGCTGAGTTGCAAAAGATTACTGGCAACATTCAATATTCCATTCAATATCTCTACAGACATAGACTCAACTGCCTCTGGGTGCAGATTTATGGTGCTGGGTGTTCACATCATGCCACTCTGCAGCAACCAGACAACAATATGATTTCCATTTGTCATTATTATTGTCCTCCTTCACTGTGATTGGCTCAGCTGTTTCAGAGCTCTGAGACTAGTAACGTGACGCTGAGAGTGTTTTTATACAAAGTCTGTACGTCCAAGACCTGCCATTTTGCTGTAGTAGTACTAGTAGCAACATTACAATTATTAATGATAGGGCTACTAATTTTGACGGTGCTATATTTATTTGGCAGTGTTACTTACTAGAACAATTCAACTAATTGATTTGAGTAATGATAAACTGAATATCTTGTGGACAAACAAAGACATTTGGGGACGTGACCTTGGGCTTTGGGAAACAGTGATTCATATTTTTCACCAATATCTTTCTGGCATTTTATTGACCAACTAAGTGATTAATTGTTAAAATTAGGGCTGTCCCTCAATCAACTAAACCGATGAGAAGAGTAGTCACAGAAAACAATGTCAAAAATAACAATGTGTGGAGCTCCTTGTCACCAGGTTAAGATTGCAACACGGTCCTTTTCTATTGTAACACAGCAATGCTGAATGTGCTAACAGCTGTAGCTGCCATTAGCTACATAGTGGTCCTATTAGCTGACTGTACCCAGACTGGGAACTCAAAGGGCCTATGAGAATGAGCACCAGAACCAGAGCCGGTTGAGTGGGCAACATAACCGGGTTCATAGCCTCAGAGACCGACGGAGGCCAGGTGATTTACTCTTACTTTGGGGACAATGAAGACACAGCAGGTTCAGGCAGGGACAGGAGAGGCATAAAACCGGACAGCAGCGTTTCTGCAGTTAGCATCTAACAGGCGGCTGTTTAAATATCTATATTTAAATAATTAGATTCACATCATAAATGTGCAAAGACCAGTCGACTAATGGCTTTAACTGCTTGCCGAGGGGGCAGCCCTAGGGAAAATGATCGACAGATTACTTGACATTGAAAAAAAATGTTAATTTCAGCCCTATTACTCACAGTGCTTGATGTCGTGGTAGAACTAAAATAAGGTAGAACTAATAATACTGTATTAGTAGAAGTGCTAATAATTGTGTTATTAGCAGTGCTAGTAGCTGTGCTGCTAAAAGTGGTACTATGTGGTGTTATTTAAGACTCTAACATTACCGTAGTGTTAGTGTATTAGAGCTGACCTGTTGTCCAGCCTGTGATTCTCCCATGATGAAGCGATCTCCTGGGCCATCGGCAGCTATGGGTCAATGATAATGATGTTAATCAAGTTAAGTATGAAAATTAGACCATGACTATTGATTTTTTACGATTCAAGCGGCAGCAAAGAGGACAGTTCAAGAATTTGCTCTTTAATTCCTTCAATGCCAACAACTAAATAAGTGTAAATGCATAAATGAATGCACAGATGTCAGTTAAGTCAAATTTCATGGCATTTTCTGTGTCCCTGATATAAAGTGTATCTGATGTTGTATAATAACAGATAGTGGTCTCACCTCGTACAGCGTAGCCATCTTTAACAGAGGCGGGAAACGGAGGAAGGTTGTCTTTGGCATAGATGTCCTGAGCGAGCACTCGACCCAAACCGTCTAAAGAAAGTAGGCTGAGTCAGGTCAACTTAGTGCAAACTGCATTTTAACAAGAAACCTCCAATCATACAAATTATACACAATGATTATTACAATATGTGTGTGGTGGATCACTTGAGAGCCAAACTGCTTGAAACCCCTGATTTATACAATGTCTTCTCAAGTCTTCTCTGTGTTCCTAAAATAGCACTAGACAAGTCAAACAGAAGATAGATGCACGAACATACAGTGTATATATATATATATATATATATATATATATGTATACACACACACACACACACACACCCTTCTGAAGACTCACCTCTGTAGTTAATGACTTCAATTCCCAGAATTGGTGTCATCTCTAGAACAGTGATGAAGGCTTTGTCCATTGACGTCAATGGGAACGGAGACATGCGATGACGACGTGCCACTTTACTGATGTCTACCGCACTGTGGCCTACACACACGCACACACACACACGCACACGCACACGCACGCGCACGCACACGCACACAAATAAAGAGAATGGGCATAAATTATATGTGAATATGTTACAATAAACAATACCTTAAAGTTCCTAAATTTTCCACAGTGATGCAAGTTGCTGTTGCAAGGTTGGCATGTTAATGAGACACACCTCCACACACTCACACACACTGCACACACTGTACTTACTGGCTCTCAGAATGTTCTCATTACTGCCACATCGTGACTGAACCTGCAGAGAGACAGACAGATATTCTATATTTGGTCATTGTTTGATGCAAACATATGGAAGGAATGATTTCAATAACTCTCCTTCATAACAGGACAGTCTGGCAAAGGCTTTCATGTTGATTGATCTATAAATAATGTCTAATACACAGGACATGGAAACATAAATAACATGAATCCTAACTGTGACGTTAAAAACCAGCTCTGTGTCTAATTCCACACAAGATTATTAGAAACTAAAAGAGGACTCAGTCTGGGGTTCCACTGTTATATCAGTCCACCCCAGTGTCCATCTAAGCTTTATCAAAACAGTTTGTAAAACCTGTGATGACATTTTACTTTCTCCATATTATCACACTTGTTCACTGAATCATTCATCAATGCTTTACTACATTATTTTTAAACACTCTGCTCTGCCAGATGTAGCATCTTTTTCTAAGCTATCTCTTTGTCTTGATTTGAATGGAAAAAAAGTGTGCTTGCCATGGAATAAATAAATTAATAACAATTAATAATAAATTAAATTAAATTAAAAAATATATTCTAAAAGCCAGTATTCAAATTTCAGTCATGTTTGATACTAACAACTACTATAATTGACAATAATGGCCAATTAAAATAAATTTCTGTACTGTATGTGTACTCGTATGACTAACATGGTAAAATCTGCATTAAGTACATCTCCACAGCACTAACAGGGGTGTATGAAAATATCAATACACTTCAGTATCGCAGTATTATCTTTTGTGATACTGTACTGATTCTCGGAAACACTGTATTCATATTTAATTAATAATTTACATTTAAAAATTCACGACAGTGGTTCATTTTGTGTTTAAACCTCCGACCGCTAGATACCAGGGCTGTAATCTATCTTCAGCCTCTTCAGACTCTTCCACTCCAACACTCAAGAAGTAGAGCTAGATGTTACAGTAACTGTGAGAATACATCCTACTGTCCTGACTGAATAAAACACTTTTTTGATAAATTTTTGTGCTTATATTTTATACTATGTTAATTTTCCCAATTATAGAAAAATGCAATATATTGCTTACAGTATAGCAATATACTGATCATAACCCCTGTATCGTGATACGTATCGTATTGCCAGATTCTTGCCAATACACAGCCCTAAGCACAAAGCAGGACCACAGCAGAGTCACCACCACTCTGCTGCCCAGAGTTTCTCTTTTAACAGAAATACTGTTTTATATATAATAATGATTCTAGTAATAATATAATCATAATTATTTATTTTGAATCTATTACAGAAGACACCTCTGTATTTATTGTATTTGTGCTGTGGAAATGTACATTATATTGAATTTACACAACAAAAGAGTTAAATTGCATAGAGAGAAAGATTTGGGTTTGCAAATAAAAATGGTAACGGATCAGAAAATAGGCAGGTTTGTTACCTTTAAGACAATCCCAGCATAATTTGAGTTTTTGCAATTTTTTTTTCCATTGTCAATCACTTGACATTAATTGGGACAATTTTTGCGTGAATGTACCACAACTGAAGATATTTCTAACAGTCTCATTCACTCCCATTCAATTCCAAACAGCACACGAGTCCCGAGACTTTTAATTTCAGGGTAATCCATCACTGACAGTCACGTTTGCCGCGGTTGAATCAGGATGCTACAACTGACTACTGACTTTTAGATTTGGCCTCTTATCAATATACCCATCTGAGAGCCAAACTGAGACAGGATTGGGATGTATATTTAATGTACCCATCCATAACACGTTTACCTTTCAGTAAGTGATCTCAGTGACTACAGTGGGACCAAATAAATCTCAAAATAATCTGAATGAAAGTCATCTTAAGTTAGGAATTCAAATGTACAACCTTCTGCTATGATAAGGGATAGAAACATCAGCAAATAATCTACAGCGACAAAAAAGGTAAATACAGGAAATAAGCAAAAACTCCAATCATGCAGAAACTGTCCTTTTTTTTAATTTGGAACTGCTGAGATAGCTTTCCACTTCTATCAGCAGTAACGTTACACATGCTATTTGCATGCCTTATGAATCTTGCAAAGCAAATAGAGGAAACTTTCAATTTCATGCAACATGTTTTAATATCGATTTTGTGGTTGAAAGTGATTTGAATTTCCAGCTATTCTTATTGCTTAGTGCTCATTTCTCTGTGTGTGTGTGTGTGTGTGTGTGTGTGTGTGTGTGTGTCTGTGTGCGTGTGTGTGCATGTATGAAAGTTTGTGTGTACCTTGGGTGTCGGGCATGAGGCGGTGGAAAGGCGGGAGGTCGCCTGTGTTGCCCGTGGTGACTCGGAAGGGGTGGAGCTTAAAGAGGCCGAATCTCGAGGAAGCACCTGAACGCCTCGAGAAATGATAGAGTCCGGGATCTACACGCACACAAGCACACACGCACAGACACACTTAATGCTAGTCAAAGAATTTTCTTCAGTCGTTTTTTTTCTGTCAACTAAAGCTGCGTCTACATGAGTTCCACCTCTAATCCGGTCAACCAACAAACTCTTATTACTTCAACAACTAAAACAAATAAGGAAGTGCTATATTTTTCTCTTTTCATACATGTTATATTTCTTTCTTCTGTGGCATTCAATTAATGGTGAATTCTCTCTATACATTACAAGACCATAGACACCAAAATCATCCATATTTCCTTAGAAGATCACTGGCCGGATGCTTCAGCGAACTCTTTAGCATTTTGTTTACAAGCACAATGAAATTATAGGTAGACGTGCCTTTAACAGAGTCTAAAATTATACTAATCAAATGACTAAGTGACTCATTTCAGTCCAAGTTACTATAAATTAACTTTTTACAGCAGTTGTGGAGGATAGTAGTGTGTATCATGCCTTTCAATAGACTTCATATGACTCAGAACCCAACCCCCCTCCCCTCCACATCCTGTGTGGCACATTCACATGGGGTAAACATAGTCTTTGTTTCGCTCAAATTTACTGACCAAATCCCTGACCTAAGGATTATCACCGGATTTGATTTGATCTTACACTTTCTTTTAGTGGCACCCAAAATACTATACCCAAAAGCCTTCATTAACAGATTTCACTGTAGCCTCTATTATTCAGACGACAAAGGAAAAAAACGATCTAAAGCTCTGTGTCTGGAAAAATTAAATAGAAGGGTCCTTTTAACTGGAATTACAGACACATTGCATACATACACTAGAACATTTGTGTGGGATTAAGACCAAACATAACCTCTGCAGTTAAATCACAAGAAAACCATGCAAACTACCTCCCTGAAGGAAATATTAACGAATTACAGCTGATTTCCACAGCTTTATCTGTGGAGGGACTTTGAGACATTCTGATTCTGATCGTGTATGCTAAAGTGTATAGCATATTCAAGTCAAGATGTAGCAGATACAAATGGATGCTTTTAGTGTCTATGTTCTCAACACTGAATTGCTAAGTTGATTTGCTGTAAAGTAAATAGCCATCACACCTACAAACTGCTGCTTTCAACTACCAACATTACCCACGACTTACTACAGGTAACAGCCCCGCTCTTTACACATGGTTCAACTGATCCAGGCCAAGATGATGTTAGCTAGCTCATAACATCATAACAATAACATACCATTATTATTTTTTCTTGGATGATAGTTTACTCCTTTAAATAAAGGAAACGTGCAGAGTCAAAATCATGCTAGCTAACGACGGATGTAGATTAGCTACCTCTTGGCTGCGGTTTTGGATATAGGTTATTAAAATTTGATTGTCTTTTCAGCATAGACGAGCCTAGCACATAGCATATCTAAGTACAGGACAGGAGAAACTTGGCCGAGGTTCTGACCGAGGCTTGCTCAACTGTCATTGGAGCTCAAAGGTAAAAGGGGCGGGACTTAGGTAGGGTCAAATCTCTGTGGCTTTGTTTGTAGACATTAAATCAAGAGAGGGCCCCTCATATTTGAAGAATTTATTTATTTTACAGTATGTGGTTGAAAAGTCAACTGTGAATAGCTTTTGAAGGTGCGCTAAATTTTAAGCAATTCAGAGCAGAGCAGATCCAAGGAACTGTTATCCATGTATGAAGAACAGGGCCCAGCAGTGTGTGACTTGACAGACATGATGAACCGACCAATGACAGGAGAGGAGGGGTATGTGTGAGTGTCTCACCTGCTGGTCATGGGTACAGGAACAAGTGAAATGAGTGGGAGGGGCGGGTGTGTTTCCGGGCAAGTAGGGGCCTCCCTTAGCCATGACCACAGCGTGGCTCGTCTGATGGGCACACACAAACACACACACACACACGCATGCGGGCACGCACAAACACACAAGACAGACAGACACATGTTTCCACAGACAGAAAGGTGAATGAGATGAAATGGAGTGCTTCAATATGGTTAATGAATGGAAAAGTTGACATTTTAATGTAATAGCTTCTCCATCGAACATATATTATTATGAACCAAAATTTGAAAGTATCTAATTGTGATAGTGGTTGTGAGAGTAGGAACACATTCACACCTGTATTGACATGCCATCTGTATGATGATACATAATCTGGACAATGACATCTGAACATGAGCCTTTGCATTTACACCTGCAGCCTATTGCACCAGCTGAAAAACTAGTTAGTGCAAAGTCTGCAATCAAAACATTGTTGCAGAGAATAAAATGTCTATATTTGGGAAATATTGTAGAAAAAGAAACATAAAAATTGTGACACAAAGTAAGAGACTTAAAACGGACACACTCTAAGATAAAATGCATGTTTGTCCATTACTTCAATAATAATTCGACAATCATTAATCAATCGTTCCTGTTGCACATTCAGTATTGTTTTTTACTAAGTATCACCAAAACTCATTGTGTGTATTCTTGAGGTCTAACAAATGGGCTTTTTTGTAAAGCCAATTCTTTAAGTATTTTAAATCCTCAAATTGCCACATATCTTGCTGTATTAGATTAGTGGAATAGTGTAAAACAACTGGCCGGATTGAGTACTGTGTCAACTATGTCTGCATGCATGCATCGACACAATTGACTGTATATAAAGATGGATGACACAACAACTCCCCAAAAGTGAAGCCTAAACATCTTGATTGCAGTATAGGTCATAAACCCCACTGCCTCCATGTTAGCTAATAGGACATGGGCCAAACAAAAAAATCTAAATACACGTCAAATACATTTTTCTAAAAGATGGTTTCTGTCAATTAAGTTCTTACCACACTGATGTATGTTCAAGTGTTCATTTTGTTGATAAGTTTGGTTTTAATTAGTTATTTAAATTAGTTCTGTAAAAAGAGTGTTTCACACCATGATTGACAGCTGAGCCCTAGTTGCTATTGAGTTGGCCGGATGATACCACGATCCAACCCTGATCACTACTGCACAGACTCTGGCTCAAAATGACATGACCAGTGCAAGATGGCAGCACACATATCCAGGATATTTTGGCCTCATTTTGGTACAGTTGGATAAAGTGGGACGTCCATCTTTAGAGACAGTCTATGGTTCAAGCTAGGTCCCGTTTGAACTTACAAATAGCTGGTGCATGACTTTCAGATTTCTTTCTGAAATGCCCTGCTGTCCATTCTTTAATTACTGATACAGTATGTGGTTATTGTTTGGAGTCCTGCAGCAGCCTCTAGGGTCTGAGCTGCAGTCAGTAGTACAGTAGCCTGCTGCTGCAATGCCCTAATTTCCCCACAGGGATCATTAAAGTTTCATCTATCAAGTTTCCAGAGGCAGCAGCCACACTGGCCGTGATGTGTCCTGTCGACTGGTTACCTTGGCAGCGATAGCAGCTGCGGTGATGTGGGAGGAGCCATGCTGGTGATGGTGGTGGTTGTGCGCATGTCGACCTCTCCTCCTGTCCTCCTCCTCGTCCTCCTCTTCCTCGCACTGGGTGCCGCGCTCCATGGTGTGCGTGTCGGTGTGTGTGTTGGTGTGCGTGTTGGCCAGGAGAGGGGAAGGAGAGGGCAGCTGTTCCAGGGCGGCGTGCGTGGCTTTGACCCCGACTGTGGCTTCACGCAGCAGGTCGATGGCGTGGGGCAGTGCGGGCAGGATGAATTGAAAACACTCCTGGAGGGAAAAGACTGCAGGTTAAACTTTAGGGCACTTTCAAACAGCAACTAAAGACATTGGCTTGAAACTAGTCAATTATAAACACTGTTGTCCAGCTAGTCAAGAACAACAGTAAGTATTCAGACTCTTTCACATTTTGCTATGTTGCAACCTAAAGTCAAAACCATTCATTCATTTTTTCCCAGCAGGATAAACACCAAATCATTGCCACTCTGTTCTTAAATTACATAAAATTTATTTTTCTAATAACTTACAGTTCTCTAAAATGGGTTCTATGCACAGATTAAAGAAAAAATATATTCAGAACCTAAAGGTGGGACAAAAGAATGGTTTTCCAAGTCCCAAGTAAGTAAGTCTCAAGTCAAAGTCCATAACAAGTCAATATGAGTTCTTCACCAAATTAAATGTAATTTCAAATTCCGTAACATTTTATATTCAACATAATAATCAATAATAGAACAATACAATCTTTTTAGATTTTTTCAACTCTAATCAAGACACATTCAATCAGGCACAGTTGAGTTAAATCAAAGAATCATACCTGAGAGCCCTTCTTGCTCCCTGGCAGGTTAATGATCAGAGTTTTACCACGAATGCCACACACTGGCCTGGAGACAATGCAGTAGAAAGGAGATTAGAGCAGGAGCGGATACCACACACACTAATTTGGTTCAAATAAAACAGATTAGCAGATTGTACTGGGCCTCCTGGTGTAGATAGCCTGTCCAACTGACTGACAGCAAACAGAGAAGTGATAAAAATCAAGTCTTCACCTGGACAGCATGCCTAGAGGTGTGACGTTGAGTGATCCCATCAGCATGGCCAGAGCCATACCCGGAGCCTCTCGCTCTATCACCTCTCTGGTGGCCTACCACACAAACGCCAGGACTCAGTTAGTTACTTTTATAGCACTTGTATGCCCTTAAGAATTCTTATTTTTATTGAGATTATATTTTCAAAGCAGCTGGTATTAAAATGTGATCTGCATCCGGACACATTATCCAGATAATAAACAATCAGATCTTGCCTTTGCATTTACACCTGGTATATTTAATGCATTCTCCTCATTATCCTCATTGAGATCAGATCTCTGTCCTCCAGAGCAAAGCCTGTGCCAGTAATTTAAGTGGCATCAAATCAGCCCCAGACCCAGAGTTTCTGAGTTATGGAAAACTTCATAAACATTGTGGAACGCCGTCTACATTACTATTTGTCCCCTTTTATAAATTCAGCGAAAATATGTTATTTCTTTATTTAGAATCTCTGCCGGGGTCAGAGATACTAAATAAAGAAATAACATATTACATTTGTGTTGCAGTATTGGTGTGTAGGCTACAAATTAACACCAGTGCAGTCAAAAAACGTTGCAGTTATGTTATATACAGCCAGCACGTTGTACGGATGGTGTTTACACCTACTAAAGATCAATGAAAGCCAGACTACCTGTCCTCCAGATGTGGTCAGGCAGTTCCAATCACATTCCGATCATGAAGCATTTACACATTTTTCCATGTCTGGATAACGTGTCCGGATACAGATCGCCTTTTAATACCAGATATAAATGGGGTGGGGCTAGTTTATTCTCTAAATTACTTGTTTTTAATAAAGTAATAAATTGAATTAATATTTATTTATTCATTTTAATTAAATTTTTGCAGTTTCAGTGGCTTCATGTGTTTGTACCTCAGGTGTCACATCTCGTGGTGCAAAGCCAGTTCCTCCAGTGGTGAGAATGAGATTCAGCTCTAGTTCATCACACCACTCCAGAAGGGTTTCCTGCAGACACATAAACACACACACACAAAGTTAACCACTGCATCATGCATCCTCTTTACCTGCAATAGTACAGGCCCAACAGGCAGCTGCAATGAATTAAGACACTTTTCTTCAAAGAAATACCTGGGTTCAAACTCTGGTGATAAAACATTTGCCCTGCTCAAGTGTCCTACCACAATCCCTACCAGCTCTAAGGTGCTGCTCAGTACCACAGGACAGGATCATACTCTCACTGCATCTAGTGGCTGGAAAAGCAGTGAAGTACGGAATCATGACTGGCTAAGTGCTGGATGGTAGACGGATGGTCACTGCCAACTGCTAACAAGTCCCATGAGCTAGACAAGCAGAGCAAGATTCAGGAGGTATGTAAGGAGGAATCTGCCACTGTTTTCACTCAGTGTTGTGGCATCACGGTGTGTATCTCTGTGGCAGATTAAAACATTCTTAAATGCCAGTGAGAAAGTGTAGAGTCCAGACTGTTTCCACAGCATACTGTTTTGTGTGTGACTGTGAGTGATGTAATTGCTAGTGAACTCCAAGCGTACCTTGATTTCATCGATCTCATCTGGAACGATCTTGTAGGCTGCTATGACTCCTCCTAGCCTGCAGGAGGTGACAAAGATACAGTCAGTGGAATGTCAGTTTTTGTGTGTATGTGTCAACCTGTGTGTGTGCAGACCATACTGTGACTGTGTGTAGACTCACAGTGAGGGATCGTGGACCAGGTCCTTCAGGTTGACTCCACTCCTGTCCTCAGCCAAGTTCCTGAAACAGCTGTCACTGACTGAGGAGGAGAGAAGTTCAGGTTACAGAACAGCACGCCTCTGACACACAGCGTTTCTACAAAAGAGTGGAATCTCAGTTGATACTTTCAATTCACACATGTATACTTGATTAATGTTATTAGTGTTATTAACCAGAAGTTTTGTCAATTTTCCAAGGGAAAATCCATATTAAAAAAGGAAATGGCAATACTATTCAAACCATATTAAAATAAGGAGTATTCCTTTATAGTCTAATAAGAGAAGCTAACTATTCATTCATGCTTTATATCAGGGCTGTGCAATATGACGATATATATCGTGTGACGATAGAGAAACGTTTATCGTGTCATATGCTATTTTGTTTATTTTGTTGTGTCTCTCTACGTCAGTATTTTTTCCCCATTCGGACGATGATTTGCGTTCTGCTGCACAGCACAAATGTAGGGAGGAAATCTGAAGGTAACAAAAACAAATGTGGAGGTGAGTGAGTAAGAAGCTTGTACCTAAAACAGGGGCTACTTCTGGCAAAGGGATGTGGTTTGGGTATAAAAAGTCTGACACAGGCCAGAAAATCGTACAGACTCAAACACCACTAACCACCTATGCAAGAATGATATCAAACAGTACGAAGAGAGGGAATTTTCACAAAGGTTCTAATATTTCAAACTTCAGACTTTGTTTGACCGTTTCAAAGCCTGAAACATTTAAAGGAATAGTTTAACATTATTAGAATAATGCTTATTCGCTTTCTTATCCTGAGTTAGATAAGAAGAATAATAGCAGTCTCATGACTGTACAGTAAATATGAAGCTACAAGCCAGTTAGCTTAGCTTAGCATGAAGGCTGGAAACAGTGGGAAACAGTTTCCGCAGTGTTTAGCCCTTATATTCAATGGAGAGTGGTACCAATCTTCTCATCTAACTGTTTGCAAGAAAGCAAATAATTGTATTTCGCAATATGTCAACAATTTCAATCAATACTGACATGCAATTTAAAAAAGCCAGTCTACATTTTGCTGAACAGACGTGCCTGAGCTGACTTCTCACCAGAAAACCCAGGAAGAACTGGGAAAACTGAAATTTAAACATATAAGTACTCCAGTAATTCTAATGCTGGATATTACACTTAATTACATTTTAAGTCTTTTTAAGCAACTGCAGACAGACTGTCATTACAGCCTTCTGACACATGAATATATAAACAGAGCTTATCTTGAAACCATGGTACACTGAGTTCAAGGGCGCAAATATTTAGAGATCACCCAGGATATCAACTCTGGTGAAAGTGAGCAACGTTTTCCTCCATTTCCAGCTGAAACCTCAGACACTATTAAGAGATCTTCACCAATGTCTATAGTGTTATATACTAGTCTTTCCATATACATTTAGTGTGAGAGCTACTCAGATAACATGCACATCTGAATATATGGCCATAGATTCCAATCTTTAGATTGTTTTGCAGTTACATTCCTAAATAATTTGACACAAACACAGCAAGAACATATTTAAAAAAGTACCACTAAATACTCTCCAAGGAAGTCTGGGAGTTTATTTTCAATGTGATCAAATATGACCCAGCTTGAACACTCACACAGACACAAACATTCGATATTTTCTGTATTGACACATTAAGAATATAGGCAGTCTGACTGACAGTGAATAGAGGAATCCACCTATTTCTTTCATTTATCCTGCTCTTCAGACTTTGTATATTAATGTGTGATTCATTGTATTTAACTAACTCAACTAATGAAGTTGTTGTGAAATGAATAGATAGGGTGAGATGCTAACTGTGTGACTTGGCACGGTGCGCTGCTTTGATCGAGTGAAGCCAACGAGCTTGCCTCCTTGCTCTCCAAAAACTGAGATTACAAATGTCACAAACTGATTCATATTCTCTCAAGGACAGATAATAAGACAAAGCTAAATTAAGCAACTGTTGTGAAGCTTTTTGATTTGGCCACACAAACTACAGGCACCTGCACCCTTAAATGTGCCTATTCATTTTAAAAGACCCACCAATAGTGGATTTCTTAGGCATCTAACCTAAACATTAAACATATGAAAAACATTTTCATACCATACATACCTAATATTCATAGGTATGTTGTGACCTTAAAATTTGCTTTTTGTATCAACAGAGGGCACGGGTACTATTCTATGGAGGCCGCCATCTTGAACTGGCCTTTGGTCTGTACATAACCTGACCTGTGACAAACATATCTTTAATAATTCTATACTGCCATTTCAATTACTGGCCAACATATATGCCAATACCATCTGTAATAAGCTGAAATGTCAATTTATCAGCTGGGCTCTATTCACATTATTAATCACATTATGTACACATTCTCTGCAAGCAACTCCTTTTGGACTTAAGTTCTACCTCTGGCCAGTCTGGTCTCTACAAGTAAAGGCTGGTGTTATTCTATAGCTTACTGCCAACCATTTCCATGAAAAGACCAAAACGCAAAGCCCAGCCCTAGTTTGGGCCTCACACAATAACATATAGGTTACATCTGCTTTTCAGAAAATTAAACATCTGTCAACCTTTGAAAACCCCAGATGGTACTTCCAGAATTCTCTTTTAACCATCTGGACAAAAAAATATGTGCTGCACAATGAAGAATAACTTAGAACTACCATAAAAAATAGTTTGTCTTGTGTTGTATAAAGTGTTGCATATATTCGTAATCATGACGTTAAATCAAAGTCATTGAGACAGTGAAGTGTCCATCGAGAGGCGGGAACAGGGACAGAGTCCTTCCACAAAGGGAGAAGTATCGGATACACTTCCTCAATACCCAATGGCATGAATGAGGAGATTTCATTTGCTTGTTTTTCATGAAGTATTTATGTTGTGCATATAATTTGAGTTTTTTTGAGTTTCCATGTATTTGATATCATATGATACTGCCTGTGCTTGTAGCTCCCCCTGTTGGAATGTACTAGTTGTGCCGGTTATGTTAACCTAATTAATCCCACCTCTGTATAGTCATTGTGAATTTGCCAAAACACGATGAAGAAGGGTGTCTTACCCGAAACGTCTAAGTGGCAAAATTTAAAAGTTGAATGGAAGGGCTGTCCTTGTCCTTTGCTTGTTGCATAAAGACTACAACTTGCATTTCATTGTGCAACCCTGTGTTGTACGGTGACAAATAAATGAACCTTGAACTTGCGACTCTTATTGCCTAAACCAAACAGAGATGGTAGCCACAAGTGACAAAGGTTCTTGCTCAAGTTGTACAACATTAACCAAAAAGAAAACAGTTTATCAGTCAGATGTGTCTTTATTGATGAGTTTCTACTGTATTTTCAAACATATTAATGCTTTTATATATTCTTTGTGCTTTACTAAACAGGCGAGAAGATATGACAGTTCTGGCTACATGGATAGGAAACGCAGTTTCTGTTCTGTTTACAATGCAGCAAATTAAATATTTTGATTTGAAACTTGTAGGTTTTTCATAGTTTGCTGGGTATTTCATTTTCAGAAAAAAAGGCCAGATCAGCTTTGAGTCAAATGTAATTGTAGTGGTTGACTGATATGGGCCGATGCCGATGGTTGATGTCGCATTCAAAACAAAGTCACATATAATTATATTATTTCAATCTAATATACATGATTATCTTAGCCAGTAACATGTTGTTTTAGATGGATTTTCTATGAATTAAAGAAAAAGAAAAATACCCTGGTTTATGCTGTATGCTTATTCTATACATTATTACATTATATATATTTAACGCTAGCCAGAGAGAGTTTTAGATTATATTTGCTATCATTTAGGATGGGAGAAACGTGTTAACATTTAGAAATGAGAATCTTGTGAGCACAGGGTTCAGCCAATGCCAACTATCTCAAGATGCTAGATAATCGGCCCTTATCCCTTGTACAGAGTGAAAGGCACAAACTGTAGCTATCCAAAGCTAATTTGTTCCTAGTGAAAATGTAAATATTTAAAAGCAAGCAATACTAGTAATGCTACTCAGGCAGGAGGAAATTTGTTCGTATGTATTGGGGGCTATTTTCTGCTGTGGAAGAATATACATTTTTAAGTATTTATTAAGTATTTACAGCATTTTCTGACTCGCACAGTGCGTAGCTTTGACCAAGCTGCTTCTACCCAGTGATAACAGGAGACAAAGGCTACGTTCACACTGCAGGCAAAAGTGGCCCAAATCCCACTTTTTTGCACATATGTGATCCATATCTGATTTTTCTATGACAGTCTGAACAGCACAAATCAGATTTTTTCAAATCAGATCCAAGCCACTTTCATATGTGGTCCTAAATCAGAGACATGTCTGATGTTTTTCAAAGTGACCTCAGTCTGAACGGTCAACCGAGGCGGAACGCGGCAATATCAAAACAATGGACGATTTGATCATAATTTTGTCGGCTCCGATTGCACAACAACTTCAAAATTGATACACACACGCTGACATGTGTAACATCCACATTTACTTCCGTAAACACAGTGCGCTGTGGCGTCACGTCTTCTTCTGCGCATGCGGGTTACTTTGGGGCTGTATACTGTTCACACTGGAGTCTGACGGCGGTTGCATTTAAATTATAATGTGAACAACAATCTGATCTCAGCAAAATATCGGAACTGAGCATTTAGACCTGCATAGCCAAACAGATATTTTTGTAATATTATAAGTGGCCAAATCTTATATCCAGGATATCACCCTATGAGACTTTGACTGATAGAACCAACAGTTCTGTGTTCATTGTCAGTATTATGTCACATTGTCAGCACCTTTAGCGTAACCTTAACGCTGCAGTCCGTAATTTTTATAAAAATCTTTTTTTCTTGTATTTGCTGAATCTGTCACTGTATCCTGACAGTAGAACAAGAGACCGATTATCTGTGAACGAATCAGGGTCTTCTGGCCTGAACGAAAAACCAACCAATAAGATAGTTGATAGTTGAGTCTCATTCCCATGCCGTCAAATACAGACGCTTTGGGAACCTGGGAATGAAACTCAACAATCAGCTATCTTCAAGCCTCCAACCCAAAGCACATATATATATATTTTTTTTTTTTTTGGCTCTGATTGGCTGTTTTCATTCAGGCACAGTGGATTCTTGCAAATGCCATCAGGAGCACTAGAACGAGCCGGAGGAACCTGATCTTTTCACAGATTATCTCTCTCGTGTACTACTGTCAAAAAAATCAACAATAATGACAAAAAGTTATTTTTATAAAAGTAACCTACTGCAGCTTTAAGCATGCCTTAAGTCAAATGTCTTAACCCCTATGTTTAACCCTAAGCCTGACCTAACTCTTGAGTTAAGATGTCTTCCCAACACATCTCCAGCAGCTGGGTAACACACACATTCCCTCACACACACACACACACACACACACACACACACACACACACACACACACACACACACACACACACCACATGAATGGGCTGGGAACGTGTCTTAGCATGTGACAGGAGGTAGTGGCTGTCAGCTGGATGGACAGCAGGGATAGCTGCGGTTAGCCAAGATGCTAGCTCGTCAAAACCACGACAGAGATTCCCAGCCAGCTGCGGGCTCGCATCCTCTTAACATTATTCTCACGTCTCCCCTGCCTTGGCGAGGAGGCAGCAGGGCTACTAGTGACTGGTGGCTGACACACGACTGTATACTGGTCCCAGTCCTCCTCTGCACGACTCAGAGGCGAACATCAGCTGAGCTAATTAAGGAAGCTGCTAAGACGACCTGCAAAACAGAATTCATTTCGCTTTGACGTTGCGCCCTGCCTTCTTACTGGCTTTTAATAGCTACCAAACGATTTATTATTAATAAATGTAAATTTCTGTGTTAAATAAAAACACAGACAGTAAGCCCAAATGAAATGGCAGTCAAAAGAACCATAAAGGAAACGTAAATGAAAAGCATCCTCAACAGCGGCCAACACATCGGATCTGCAAAGGGACATGAATAATGCAGCTGATGTAGGCTCGGTAACGCTACATTGCGAGAAAATATAATGTTGCCTTCGCGTGAAGGTGGAAACATACAGCACAGCAACATCGGAAGAATGGCGGCTTTGCTTTCAAAATAAAAGCGCCAATTTTAGTTAAAACCTCATTGCAGCACATGCTCGCCAACCAACAGCCCCTTAATTGTGAAAGTCTTCGCTGGGCGTTCTCTTCCCCGCTGTCTCACTTGACGCTGATTAAAATATATCTCGTTGCACTGTCGTGTAAGCTATAGCTACTACAGTGCTAAATATGCCAGCTTTCGCATGTGAATACATACGTTATAAACTCCAATACACAATTGCAAATAACGTCGCTTCGAAGCAAATTCCACATTTGTCCGACCTGTCAAAAAGGCAGGCAGCTAACGCTAAAGCAATGACAGTCAACGGAACCCGGTTAGCTTAGCGTGCTGGCTAACGATAGCTAGCTCGGCAGCGAAGACAGCTTGTATCGTGACACCGACGTGCACGGGCAACCGACGGCAAAACGCCACAGAGGTGCACTATTGAGAAACATTTTTTCGCATTTCATCAAACAGTGTCCTTACCCGTCAGAATCCCCACTCGGGTCTGATGGTCGTGGTTGGTGAGCACCATCCCGTCCGCCGCCATGTTTACAACCTCTGTCTGCACTGTGCCGGCACATACATAGAAACAGCGTAGTGGTGTGCGGGCTGCTGCTGCACCTCTGGAGGACGACTGTGTGTGTGTGTGTGTGTGTGTGTGTGTGTGTGTGTGTGTGAGCGCGCGTGTCCTTTGGTGTAAATGTCCTCCAACTATAAGTGAAGATTTGAGGCAGACACACCAGAAAGCACCGACACAGACTGGAGCATCAGGACTGCTGCTTTGTGACAGCCCCAAATGAGAGTTAGATGACCTATGTGTGAAATACTGTATATTTCATTGGTCAGTCAGTGCTCCATTTTGTACCAAATGTAGTCTATTGTCAGTGTTGGGCAGTAACTCATTACTAATGATAATATTACACTAATAGTATTACTTTTCCCAGTAACTAGTAGTGTAACTAATAGCTAACACATTTCAGTGATAATATTACAGTTACTGCACCAAACATAATTAGTTACAAGTACTTTTGTTGGCACCCCTACTGATTTGAAGTCACATCCTTATTTTTGTAATTTTAATTGTAAAGTTTACATCAGGCCTAGGTGATTTGAGGGTGGACGCCATCGCCTGTCATCCCCCCCTCCATCCCCTAGTACCAAGGTCACTAATTGGTGGATCGCAGTCTGGGTCCGGAGCCAGACCCTGAGCTATAACCGATATATTACTGAGAATTATTCTGCTTTGACACAGTGTTTCTATTTTAACCGACAATACTTTTCTAGCTACTGCTTTTTTGATGCTACTCAGCAAATCCAATCTGTGCATGGCGATAAGCATTATGACTCGAGTCAGTGGCGCATTTTAAAAAGAGAAAATGTAGAGAACATCATAATGTGTAACTTGTGTTATGATTCCGTGCCACTGGGACACCCACCCTGATAAAAACGAACAAATTGTCTACTGTCTAACATTTATGTATATTCTTGAATGAAAGTGTGTCTTTAAATATAACGTCACAGACTGTTACACCACATACAAACACAATGCAGTGGGTGGTCAGTAGGGGCCTACAGCTCATTTTTGCCCCGGGCCCCCTAGCCACTTAATCCAGTCCTGACACACATGTAATGAAGGGGATGTAAATATGTGACAGGAGGTTGTTGCTGCTAGTTGGATGGTCAGTCATCACCTCCTTTTATTCTTTTCATTCATTATGAATACCAAATATAGAACTATTTCTCTGCCATCTGAAACCCCCCAGGGTGAGAAACGGTTGGGGGACAGTATTGTCACATGCCTTGGGAGGAGGAACAGTATGTGTCATGTGATGAATGTGTGACAGAACATGTTGGCCGACGGTAAATTCAGCATGCTGAGTTGGACACAACATGCATTCAGTTGTCACCATTGCAGAGGATGACTGCTAAAGGAGCAAGTGAAGGGAGTGGCTGCCGTGTATCTGGGACATCCAGCTCCACCATTGAACTGCATCCTCCTTTAGACCTGGCCTGTAATATCTGAATGAGAAGAGTTTTTAAAGGTCAAAAATGACCATTTTTCAGTGCAACTGCTAACATAATTACATGGTATCTTCAATGCACATAATCACAAACAGGCTAATGTGTGACATACAGTATGTGTCTGGTAATAATTAGGTTAGTACTTGTTTCATAATTATGAAAATAAAATGTTACGGGATCTAATGTAATTAAACATTTTTTTTTACTTAATGAACAGATGGTGGCAAATAATAGGGCTAATGAATTAGAATTTAAAGGACCAGTGTGTACAATTTAGTGGCAGCAAGCACAAACCGTTAATTAACACCCCTGGAGCCACTGCTTGGTTTGTCCCTTGTGGGCTAGAAACATTGCGTTCAACATGGCGGACTAAATGGAAGAGGAAATTTGATGTTCTGTATTCTTAAGAAAGTTTATTTTTGTTTTAAAAATGTTGTGAGTACATGTGTGTTTGTGTTGTCTTTGGATTGATATTCACTAATTAAAACAATCATTTCTCCTTCTACTTTAAATTGATACCGTAACAACCTAATTTTAGCCAGACTAATAAATCATTCTGATGTGTGCAGAAAAAGAGTTGAGAGCTGTTCATTCATCTTCATCAAAATGAAACACTTTTCAGCTTGCAAATGTCTGCAGAACAGACTCTAAAAGACAGATCACCAGCATAGTTTACTCAAAAACAGTTCTACAGCTAAGTGGTGTAAGTATGTAAGTAAGTATAAGTATATAAGTAATAGCTACTTGTTTTGGGCTACATATAAAGATATTTACAGTGCGTTTATAAAACTCGAACACATTACATACAACATTTAGAGTCACAATAGAGCTGACAGTAACAATAAAGCAGTAAGGAAAAAGCAATAGAAGAAGATGAAATTTCACAAAACACACTACATAATGATGTTATCAAGAAAATTATTAATATTATGAAATCATCTTTAACTTAAAGAACAAACCAGAATCCTATGTTTACTTCCTGTGTAGTCATTGTAATTTTATCTTAAAATTTGCTGTATTAGTTTGTTCAAAGAGCTTGTGTCTGCATTTCTGTTCTTGGGGCAATAAGAAATGATGCTAACATGACTGTCTTGTATAATCCCCCACACAGCCACGGTCCACCCACATAGGTGTTTTCACTTGCCTGATTAGACCTGATTAGACAAATCTCACCCTGTCTCTTTAATTGGCTTGACATTGCGTAGTCTTGCAATTTTGAAAGGCACAGAGCAATCAAGGGGTGATCAATTTCCCAGCGTGGCTTCACCCAACGTCAACCTGAGCAGAGGTCTAATCAGTTCAAACTGCAAACACCTATGTGGTCTTAAATTAATGTTGGAACGTTTTACATCAATCTCTTTTAGCTATGATGTATAGAATATATTAGTGAGTAAAGCACACTAGTCTTTACATTTTAAAGCTCCCTCAATTTAAAGCTGAATACTATTTTACTGTGTACAGTAGTACATGACTCTGATAATCTGTGAAAAAATCAAGTTCCTCTGGCTTTTTAAAAGTTACCTAATGCAGCTTTAATGTGTAACGAATAACACCAACAGACCAAGTGCCCTATGATTTGCCAAATATTCCTCTTGTTGTTGCTATGGTCAGCCAAAATGTCTGTCTAGTTGGCCCTATGGTTCTCTTTTCAATAGTCCAGTTACTCTCTGGTCCATCCAAATGTCCTTCTGGGTCACCCATGTTCCCCTCTGGTGAGCTCAATTGCCCCATTATGACCCCAGTTACCCTCTTGGACTGTGCTTGCAGTGGTGTTGGTAGTGGAAAACAAAACATGTCTGCAGCTTAAATCTTAATGTATCAATAAATTGAGATGCACTTGAGTTTTGCAAGCAGTCCAGCTGTCCATTTTTGTCTCACGGCACGATGAATGTAAGGCCAAGCAAGTTATACTATTAGATGTATGAGTTACAACCCTGAAACCCTTTAAAGTAGTAACAAGATCTCTTATTATTGCAACTGCTGCGGTGCAGCCACAAACAGCTGATCAAACTATACAGTGATTGAACAGTTCTTCATTGACCTCATTGACTTTTCATTAGAAACATTTTGTACATTAGAGATAAATCACCGTCAGAATGATCAAAACCACAATGGTATCGTGAACCAGTCATTTACAAAGTTTAAAAGTCACCATAAAACTTCTCCAACACCTTGATGTTGCATAATCAAAGCATTTTGCATCCATACAAAGCCATTCCTGATCCAAAAGTGTACAACATTTTGAGCCAATACCTCCACTGGGCTCTCGTACTATAGTTACCACAGGGCAGCAAACTCAATAGCACTGCTAGAGTCTTCTTCTGGGCCTATTGTAGGTCCCTGTGAATCACCCTGCTTTGGTGAAACAGGTAATATATACACCGTCAAAATATATCTTTTGTTTATTGTGGAAATTGTTTTTACCCAACTTTTTAAGTAATTCAAAATATTCTTTGATCTGTTAAAAATGTTGTAGATCAGATTGCTGGATTGTTTCACACCAGAAAACAGGAAGAGGGTGCTGTTATTCCATCACAAATAGAAGTCTGAGTCCTTCTACTACTGGGTGTTTTGTCAGTGGCAGATGGTGGGAGCAGTGCACAGACAATGAACATTTTTCATTTGAGTAAAGACAAGGAATACTCCTCTGACACACAGTAATGATATTGTAACCAACCAAATCACTTTTCAGGGAGGATAATAAAAAACTATCATGCCTTTTGGCCAAATATCTGCACAGGATGTACAGAGTCTAACCCAAGTGCTCTGAGCTTAAATTGCCTTTCATCACTGAGCAAGTCATACATGGCAAAAAGAAAACTTAAAATACAAGCAATGACTTATGGCATACTGACCTCAGTGGACACAGGAACAATGTCCAAAGTCTAACTTACTTTTGATTCTTTAAGTCATTACTATACATAATGGTATATAAAAATATAATTCAACATTCAACATGCTCACTTTACATTTTTGTCTGTTCTTAATTATAAGCATCCTTAGATTTTAATTGTCATCATGTAATTACCATGTACATAATGCTTTAAGTAGAAGCAGCACATAAACCTCTGCAGAGAACAAGGACTTGCCACAGGGAAGTGTGTAATATGATCAACTCAAATGTAGCGGCGTTGCATTCTACTATAATGAAGTAAGACAAAACAATATAATCATATTACTGAGGAGACCAGATCTGTAGAATTATGGAGCAACCCAGTTGTCCCACCCCAACATAATTTTGGGGAAAAGTGGAATTTTCAAAAAAAGTTTGACTTAAAAAAGGTTACATTTAGGACATATATATATATATATATATAATTTTAAACCTCACATCAGTTGAATTTAGTATTAGTTAGTTTTGTAAGACCACGTGGACAAGTGACAATGTGGTGAAACCAGGACGTACAATAATATAAACATAATCCATAAAAAAGTTGCTTGGAATAGCAGTGAAGGCAGAAGAAGCTTGGGCTGGTGTCCATTCACATACAGAGCTGTACAGTGGGCCCCTGGGTAGCTCACCTGGTAGAGTTGGTGCCCCATGTACCAAGGCTGAGTCCTTGCTGCAGCGGGCATGGGTTTCACCCCGAGCTGTGGCCCTATGCTCTGTGTCATTCCCTCTCCCTCCCCACTTTCCTGTCACTCTTCAGGTGTCACTATCAATTG